ACATTTTTGGCACGTATTATTCTGTCTTTATAATACGTTTTTCTCTGTCTTTATAGTAGTTTTCGGTTATTTGATCGTTGTTTTCGTTTATTTTTTTAGGGTTGAATTTTATATCGCTACGGCTAATCGAGATGACACTTATTTGTTATCATGATAATCTTCTATGCTTTGGACCCTCGAATTGAATTTGGATATGCGATTTGTGTTTGTGGATAGTATTTTCACATCGATTGATCCTGATTTGCGGTATGTCGATGGTCTTTCAATAAATTTATTCCCTTCTGTAGTTCATTTGTCAATATAGTCAGATCTATTCGTATTTATCTCTTGTTCGAATTTATTTGGTTAGATTTTTTAACATTTTCTTTGTGTGATCTTAAGTGATTAATTTTCTTTATTTCATCATTGGCACGAGATAAAACACTGGATGTAATTAAAGTTAAGGTACTAATTTAAGAACAAGATTTTTTTTATACTAATTAAAAAAAATATGTCTATTTCAAGTACCAAATATATATTTAAGCCTTTAAAATATGTCATATTTCTTAAATTAAATTATAATAATAAACCATACAAAATATAAACGGGATAAATGGGATCAAATATTTATTTACTAGTTAATTCAATGTCTTAAAAGGGATCAAATTACAAAATATCGTATCCAAAGTGCAAATAACCTAAAAATTCAAGTTATCATTAACATAGTTTACCCAATTAGAAAAAGGATTAATATAATTTGGGATAACATCCCAATAAACATTGTTAAATTATGATTTGATCATTAAGTAATCATGACATCCATATTCAATAATCACATTATTAAGATCCAACAACCTAAGTAATGAAAGCGATTCCCTTGTTTAAATTGCTTGAGATACAGTTGGAGCAAAAAGACATGCATTCCACAAAACCTGTGTACCATATTGAAAAACTCCATCTCACAACAAGTCCCCAAGGGTAGTGGGTAGTGGATTTAGCACTGTTTCTGGGTCGATTGTTTAGTGTCTTATGTTTTACATGGGACTTTATCATCATTGTGATTGTTTTCATTAGAGGTGTCTTAGTGTTATAGACTGAGCATTACTTCAACATTGATATTTTCACTATCTTGATTTAGATATTATCTACCGGGGTATATAAGAAGTAATGGGGGGAGGGGGGGGGGGAGGAAATATAACAAATACATAACAAATGGCGCCATAGCCATGTTTGTAGCATAAAAATACTCGGTCCACATCTTCACATCTATATATAGAACTAATATCCCGTCATTAAGTAATGAAATACTTTTTAATATATTATAAGATACAAAAGTATTTGTAAATCCTCATCAATTTATTGCTCTATCTATTTTGTTTCTAATTTAATCTCTCAATGACGATCAAGTTGTACGGAATTGCAATGTCCACATGCACCGCCAAGGTTATATCCTGTCTCCACGAGCATGGTGCAGAATTTGAGCTCGTCCCTGTCAATCTCCAAACTGGTGAACACAAACAGCCTGCTTTCCTTGCCAAAAATGTAAAGATCCCATCCTTTTTTTTTACAATGTGTTTAAACCATGACTAGTATTTTAAATTTATGTTAAAATATATATGCAGCCCTTTGGTCAGATCCCTGCACTAGAAGATGGCGATCTAACTCTCTTTGGTAATTTCTTTTCAACATGAATCTCTGTCCTACTTAGAATGATCATAAGTCGGGTTGGTTCGAGTTTTTTACCCACTCGAATTAACCTGAAAAATAAACCAATACACCTGCATCTAATTTGATTTGGAATTTAGAAGGATCTCATCTAATTCGAAATTCGATCTCAATTTTTAGGTCAAAATATGTATTTGTATCATATTCTGCTAGACCTATATATAATTATTTTTATTAGTGAAAATAAAGATTTAATTGAAAAATAAAATAAAATTATTATTACAATTATATATAAATGATATTCTAATTTCAATATGATTTGACCTTACCCTTAAAATTTATGATCCGACCTTATTTTTAAAGTAAAAATAAGAAACCGACTCAATTGAATTAGACCGAGTCAAAATTCGTCAAATCCGTGTGAAGTGCACATCCCTCCCTCTCCTACCTTAATTTTGTTTCATTAATGTTCATATGTACCCTTTGGGAAAACAAGAATCCAGGGCAATCTCAACATATGTGGCTGAAAAGTTCAAAGGAAGCAGCTGTGATCTTCTAAGAAGCCAAAACCCGAAAGAAGCTGCACTAGTGAAGACGTGGATGGAGGTGGAGTCCCAGCAATTCAGCCCCGCAGTCGGCCCAATATTCTACCAATCCATCATCGTGCCTGTCATGTACGGCGGGTCACCAAATCAAACGATTATTGATGAGAGCTCGGCGAAGTTAGGGAAAGTGCTGGATGTGTACGAGAAGAGGCTGAGCAGCAGCAAGTACCTGGCTGGGGATTTTTATAGCTTGGCCGATCTGCACCACCTTTCTTATATATACTATCTGATGAAGACTCCGTATGGGAAACTGATAAACGAACGTCCTCGTGTTAAAGCCTGGTGGGAAGATATTTCTTCCAGGCCAGCTTTCAAGAAGGTGGCTGCTGGTCTAACTTTGGGTGACAAAAACTAGTTAGGGCCAGGCTTTGCCTATTGAAGTAAGAGCCTTTTGCAATAAGTAGTTGAAGTCTTCAATGTTCTCTATTTCATTTCTTCTTTGAAAACAATTAAACATTTCATTTCATAAAGGCTAAAGCAATGGTTGATGTGATTCAAGCTAATTAATATGCCTTCCTTGAATATACTAAAAATAAAATTGATTATTCGGTTGAGTCGGGTTTAAACTATTAAAAAATTTAAATTAATCTAATTAATGAGTATTGTTTTATTATTTAAAATTTTTAAAATCAAATTAAGTTATGAAATTAAGTCATTCAAACGTTTACTATTTTTAACTTAATTAATTAACAAAGTTCATATAATTTTATTGTATAGAATGAATTAACTATATTTTAATAATAAATGAAAAATTATGATATAATATACAAATATAAAGTCTTTTTATTAGTCTAGAGTAAATATAAGATAATATAATTCAAAGACTCTCAATAATTTAATATTGAACACTTATACACCTTTACGGTGTTGGAACCCAAAACCCCAAGGAAAAGGTGCATTTAGGCAAGTGGGAGGCCTATTATTATTAGGGAAACTATACCTTTAGTATCTCAATTGTTATTTTTGTTTCGTTGTAATCATTCAATCATTTTTTGTTTTGAAATTATACCTAACATTTAATTTTGGTTTCATTTTGATCATCCACCGTTAAAAAATTAGTGGTGGTGCTGATGTGTCTTCATAAAATAATGTCACATCACTATTGAGAAGAAAAAAGAAGAAGAAAAATACCACGTTAGTAGTTATGTTAATTTTTTAACGGTGTATGACTAAAATGAAATTAAAATAGTGGTATGATTTTGAAATAAATCATAAAAGAGTGATCAAAACAGAATAAAAGTGATAATTGGAGTGCTAAATATGTAATTTATCCTTATTATTATTATAATAAACCAAATCACTTCTACTTACTTTCGCAGCTTTCCAAGGTATGATTTGTTATATCTAATTAAGCATGACCATCTGTCCTTCCTTTCTTTTTCTTTTCACCTTCCTCATATAATATATATTAAAATAATAATGATCACTTGTCGAATAAAAAACCTTAAAGAACATTGTCGGTCCATTAAATAAATTTGAAATTTTGAAAAACAAAAGCCAATGCATTCACGTTAAGTTATTTAATTATTATAATTAAATTTTAATTCGATTAGTATTATATAATATTATTATATAATTTAAAAATTTAAATTCAAATTACCAAAAATATTTCTAAATCCCTATTCTTGTCGAGGAATAATCCAAGTTGTCAATAGTTTTTTTTTAATGCAATTGGTTTGCTAAAGCTGTCTCTATACCTAACTTCCTAGCATTCAATTATTAAGCATAAGTTTGAGTTTATATATTAATGTCACATCAGTGCCATCCTCTTTAAAGATTTTGAGTTCGAATAATTATATTTACAAGATGTGTGTATTATTAATAGTTAAGAAAGGTTTTGAACATATGTTACCCTTGTGATCACCTCATACAATTAGAAAAATATTTATGTCACATATGATATTTGTATTTTGATCGAATATTTAACTTGATATTTATATTCTTGAAATGTTTAATATAAGATTATCAGTTTGATAAATTATTCAACTACAAAGAATTAATCGTATTAAATGTTTTGTCAAATAATAGGTATTACATTTGATATTATATTAGAGTATATTTCCTATATAGATAAAATAATCGGTTGGATATCAACTTAATCGAAAAGATATTAAAATGTTTTATTTTAAAAATAACAATATTTGTATCAAGGGTAAATTATGCATTTAGTACCTAAACTATTAATTTTAATCAGTTTTAGTACTTAAACTTTTATTTTTTTAAATCATAACTAAAGTTTAGTTTTTGTTTCATTTTAGTATCTCACCATTAAGTTTTGAAAAAAAAAATAAAAGTTTAGGTGCAAAAACACGTTTAGTACCTAAATTATACTTAAGTTTTTAAAAAATTTAAAAATTTAGGTAATAAAACTGATAAAATTTGATAGTTTAGGTACTGATCATGTTAAATATTTAATGAAGGGGTATTAAAATGAAACAAAAAGTATGTTTTAGGTATGAATTTGAAAAAATTGAAAGTTTAGTACTAAAATAGATCAAAACTGATAGTTTAAGTATTAAATACATAATTTACCATAGTATTAATAATACGAATATTTTTATCTTTTTAAATTCTAATATAATATTTTAAAGAAATATCTAAAGAATCAACGTGGGGTCAACTGAATTATATAAAACTCTCCAACAACTCTATGAATCCAATATTTTTATTTTTATATTGAAGCATTCTAGAATGACGGGAGTAGGTCTCTTCCTCCTTCCATGTTCCATATATTATATGCATACAACAGCTTCTTTATCATATTCCACAAACAAAAATTTATCGCCTTGAAAACTTGAACAAGTTACTGTCTTCGTCATCGAGAAAGTATGGCAGCTATCAAAGTCCATGGAAGCCCCATGTCAACAGCTACTCGGAGGGTTCTTGCATGCCTTTACGAGAAAGAACTTGATTTTCAGTTTGTTCCTATAAACATGGCCGCCGGTGAACACAAATCCGAGAACTTTCTTGCCCTCAACGTAAGCATTTTGTTAACAAAAATCTATATAATTCCATGTTTCCCAGAAAAATAACTTTTCTCATCATGTTTTATAGCCGTTTGGTCAACTTCCAGCTTTTGAAGATGGGGACTTGAAGCTCTTCGGTACAGTTTCATGACCCAAACCCTTGATTTGTGATCGGTTCATCACTGTATGTCATGTTTAGCTAAGACCCTATTTTGAAACGCAGAATCAAGAGCGGTGACCCACTATCTCGCCCATGAATACGCCGACAAAGGGACCCAACTGTTGATCGCCGGCTCCAACAAGGAGGCGGCCATCTTAGATTTGTGGACGGAAGTGGAAGGCCAGCGGTTCAACGCTCCATCTTCAGCGATAGGCTGGGAACTGTTTTACAAGCCATTCTTCGGCATGGCGACCGACGCTGCAGTTGTGGAAGAAAACGAAGGTCTTCTCGGGAAAGTTCTTGACGTGTACGAGACTCGGTTGACTCAGTCAAAGTACCTGGCATCCGATAACTTCACCTTGGCCGATCTGTATCATCTCCCCAACATTGAATGCTTGTTGGCGACACCGGCCAAGAAGCTGTTTGAATCGCGCCCGCATGTTAGCGCTTGGGTGAAGGAGATCACTGCTAGGCCGGCGTGGTCCAAGGTCCTGGCTATGCCGAAACACTGAAAACACTCTTAGGTGCTGTTGAGTATTATGTTTTTAATGAATAATGACGGGGTTTAAGTGTTTGTGTCAATGGCTTTTGAGTGTCGTCTTGTTCAATCTTCGGTGTGGAGATTGCTAACGTTCGTATTTGGATGCCAACAAAATAAAATTTTCAACCATTGAATATTATTTCTTGATTATTTGCTATATAATATTGTTGAGCGACTATAATTTGGTACGCAAGTCGTTCAACATTTAAGAATAAAAATATAAATAAGGTAGTCTACATTATCCATCACTAAATTTTGGGTGATGTATTATTTATATTATTACTTTTTTTGGATTTTTTTCTCGGTTTCTCAAATTTTGTCTTAATTAATTCGAATCAATTTGTGTCGTACACCTGACTTTATTGAGGGAGTCTACCAGAATGAATTTTTGTTTACACAATGCCTCGAAATCGAGACATACTTAAATTATATGAAGCTACTTACCATTTGAATCAATTCTTGTTGGTTATATTAGTGAACTTTTAGTTTCTTTAATTATAATACTGAACTTTGATTTTAACTTTAGTTATGTTATTGGGTCGTTAAAATCCAAATTATGTGATGACATGGACAAAATGATATCGTTGGCATGGCTATTGATGCCTAAAATGACATCGTTTTAGGCATTTAACTTTATAGATGTATTTATTTTTGTCACTAAACTTTTAAACATTTCATTTTTTTGCACTATACTTTTCCAGTTGTCGTCGGCAGCTAATCATTGTTCGTAACATATAGTCTTTCTTTGCAAGATCGGTACTAAAACATTTATATTCACTCAAAATCGATGAAAAAAATAAAAAAAAAACACTAAAAGTTTTAGAGGTTTGAGAACTTTCTTAGATTTGAGGGTTTTGGAGAAGTATTATTTTTGGTTTGTTTGAAAATTTGAACGGTGAGAAGCATTATTTCGAGAAGGCAAATAACAAATTTCAAAATTAGCCTCATCGAACAGTCATCGAAATCGATTTGAGTACTAACATGTTGAACATTAAAATGAATTTTCGTCGGTTTTGAGTGAGTTTCATGTAAAATCAATCCTAAGAGAAGAAAGAATAGTGAAATACAAATGTTTTAGTGTTGATCTTGTTACGAAATATAGCAGATGATGGGTGGTGATTAGCTACCAACTATAAACGAAAAAGTATAGTGCGAAAAAAGTAATTGTTTAATAGTTTAGTTGCAAAATTGATAAACAAAAAAAGTTCAATGCCTAAAACGACGTCATTTTGAACATCGATAGTCATTTCTAAAATTACGTTTTGTCTATGTCATCACTATGACAAAAAGATTTGTCCACATCATCATGCCGCTAAAATTAAAGGCCCAATGACATAATTGAAACTAAAACCAAAATTCAATGTTATAATTGAAATATTTGAAAGTTAAGTGATAAATGACATAACACCTAAAGTTTGGCCTTATAAATAAGTAAAAGTCAAAGAGTTGTTGAGCTGATAACACATTTTTATTTTTGAGTTTTCAGTAGATATAAATTTTAATATGATTTTAAAGTATAATTTAATATTTAATTGTTTTTGAATCGATAAAGATGTATTAATGACAAATAGAATGTTAATTTTTGCAAAAGAGTACGTAAGGGAAACTTAAAAAAACAATGTGGCTCTCGTTATCTTTTCACCCAATGTAACCCTCAAATTTAGAAAACAAACCTAATATAGCCCTTTGACCAACAATTTTTGTCGTTGCCCTTTAGGATGTTGATGTGGCACTTTACGATACTAATGTGATAGTCCACAATGGATAGTGATGTGGCAGATGAGCTAAATTGATTTTTTTTTGTCAAGTTAAAGGTCAAATTGAGTTTTTTTAAAGTTTAATGACTTATTTGATTTTTCAGGAAAAACTTATTTTAAATTTAAACTATACAAATATAAAAATTTGATTCTTTTGAAAAGTTTGATAATTTAGATTATGGGTGATCTGTTAAAACTCAAGGTACAAAGGATATAAAATATTTAAAGATTGTGATGAAAGAAATAAAAGAATTTATATAAATCGAAACAATTAAACACATAAGGTTAAATTCAATTTATTTCTTCAAATCATTTTATTTAATTATCGATTGAATATTAATTTACTTGACATTATTATTATAATTAAAAAATAAGTATTTATATGTATTTAAAGTTATTATTTTTAACTTAAAGGTTGAGATTTAAAAATAATTTATGTAACATCCCAAATCAGGGTCAGTGACTAAATTATAAATTTTGAAAGTTTTCTGCTCAATTTAGAAATAAATTAAAAGTCTCAGGAGTTAAGTAGAGAATTTTAATATTGGATTAAATAGCAAAGATGGATGAACTAAAGGGGTAAAATGGTCTTTTCATGGGAAAGATTTTTATATTCCCTTTTTGAGTATTAAACGTGAGAATATGAGAGTTCTAGATTTCTCTTCTTCATCTCTTTTTTTCCACCGTGAAGCCATAAGCAAAGGTAAGATCTCTTGTTAGTTGATATTTAGCTGAATTTATGATTTGGTTATGATTATTGGATGATAATTAAGCTTTAGGAAAGCTTAAATCATCTTAAAAACAAAGGATGGTGGAATTAGGAGATATTAAAGATTAAGAGTTTTTGAATGAAATTTTGGAATAGAGTTCATTACTCAAATTGGAAGTTGAATTTGACTTGTCATCTATGAGAATAAAAAGTTAGAAGTGTTAGAATTAAGTTTGGGTAACATGGAAAAATTGGTATGATTCTTGAATGATATGTGGAGGAGTGGATTTTTGAGTTAAAGAGATATTGAATGAAAATTATTAGTTTAAGTATATATTGAGTTAAGAATATTAAAGGAAGTGAAATAGGAAAGTGATTTTCGAGCTCAAAATGTGATTTCTGGGCTAGGGGAATCGGTACCCATTCAAGGGGAACCGATACCCCCTCAAACGAACCAGAATTTACAGAATGTCATGGGGAAACCGATACCCCCACAAGAGGGAACCGATTCCCCCTAAAAGAAAGTTGTGAATATTGGTTTAATACGTTCGTGTAAGTTGCTAGTATCCAATTACAAGGTGTAGGTATCTAATAATTGACTTAAAATGTACATTTATGTAGATTCTAAGCGTAAAACAATTTCGGAATATTTGGCAAGTAAGATCGATCAAGGAAAAGATAAAGATCGGTATGACAAGTGAGGCCAGGTGAGTGCATATTATTATAATATACGTATTGAATATGGAAATTGGACTTGCGATAAGTCTGTTTCCAATATGATTGTAGGAGTAGAAGTATGATTATGTTTGATATTGTGAATATGTTTTTTGTTCGTATTATATGTTATGTGGTATGAATTTATATGATATGAGTTATATGACAATTACTTATGTATTATAGGAAAATTGTTATATGAACATGTGATATAAGTTATAGGATCACAAATTATGTAAGGTAACCACGACTTATGTGTTAACAAGAAAGTGACATAAAATATAGAACAAGATATAAATTACCTGATTTAGATATAAGGGAATTGGTGGAATCAACTTAAGGGATTAAATAAATGTGAGATAAGTTCAATAACATTGACCTATAGAACAATATGAGATTAATAGATATATATTAGGAGATATTGATAGAACTGGTTATAGGGATATGTAAGACCAATTATATGGTAAAGATCTATGAAGCTATAGGAAGATGTTATAGGAGTTTTTGATGATAATTTATTAGAAGACTTGCATATGCGATAAGTATGTGAAACTGAATTAGGTAAACATGTGTAAGGTTATATAAATAATAAATATAAATGAGACAAGTAAGTAATGATATGATCAATTATGGGAAATTGTGCATTAGAGTTATAAGATTTATGGAGAATGGAGGAAAACTAGATAAGACTGAACTATAAAAGGAACTGAGAATAATATATCACTTAGGAGATTTGGATATAAAGTGATGATATGCACATAGAATATAAAATGCATGTTTATAAATATGACCATGAATGATGTAAATAGGAATAATTTAAGTACTATATAACTATGAGTATTTGAGTATGTATCTAGGTGATGTGATGTATGAGGTCGTACAAAATATTATAAGACTCCGTGATTATATGAGAAACCAAATAGGTACATGTGAATTATATGGAAATGAACTACGTGAATGGGTGTGATCTTATGAAAATTTATGATGAGCCATGTGAATGAACTATAAGATTATATGTATATGTAATTATGAAAAGTCATAATAATAGAATGTAAGCAAGGTGTCAATAAATGTAAAATGACACGAAAAGTTATATAAGCTACGTGATATGTGAAAGTGAACTATGTGTTATGTGAAGTATAAAAGAAAATGCCCATGTTATGTGTCTTGAGAGCTAGGGGTATAGTTGGCATGCAAAGAGTCGAGGGTCTACGTGGTCCTTCGGGATATATATATATTCTTTGGAATATGTGTGAAGTCTTGTGAGACACATACTTGATCCCTAGTATATGTATATGATTCTTAAGGAATGATATGTGGTCCTTATGGACATTATTATATGGCACTACGGTGTAATTCTACGCGGCACTCCGGTGCAATTCTACGTGGCACTTCGGTGCAATTTTACGAGCTGTGGTGACAACATTAGTGCACAACCTCTATAGAATCACATATCTATGGTTCTCACATGTGTACATGGGCTAATAAAGGAAATAATATAAAAGAACCTTGCATGATAGTATGTGATTGGTTTGTCATATTTATGGTGTGAAGTGATATATGTGATATGATGATGTGTAAATACCTTACATATGATTTACATATTTTGTGCTATGAAACCTGTTATAAGAATATGTGAATGATGTGTGTGTACAAGTAGATAGTGGTTGCATGACAGAATGTATGATTTTGTATCATATAATAAGTATAGATTATGAATGCATTAGTAGTGGTTATATGTTTTTATGCCTCACTAAGTCATCGACTTAGCGTGTGAGTGTTTCACACGTAGGTTCCGGAAAGCTAAAAGAAAAGTGAAGAGGAGCAAGACCGGTCAGTTACTTCTTACCAAAGATCAGATCAGAAAAGATGTCTTGAATTAGATGTATTTTGTATATTGAATATAGTTGGCATGCACTAATTGATTTAGTTAAACAAACCGCTGTGACTTTAATGAAAGTTTTAAATTTTCTCGAGTTTTTGTCATGAGTCAAAGTTCGAAAAGTCAATGTGACACCTCAGACTCGTATCCGGGTCGGGTATAGGTTGGGGGTGTTACAATTTAAGTATCGTAATTTTAAAAAAAGAATATTTCCAAACAAGTATATTTAATCGGGTGGTCAAGTTATTCATTTTTTCTTCATGTTTCCTTAGTAATTTAATTTTTTAAATATATATTTAATTTTTTAGTAATTTAATTTTTAATTTTAGTATTTTTATATTTTTCTATATTTGTATAATTTAAATTTAAAATAATTTTTTTAAAATCAAATAAGCCCTTGAACTTAAAAAAACTCAATTTGACTCTCAAATTGGACAAAAAAATCAATTTAGTCCATCTGACACGTCACCAGTCATTATGGACTACTACATCAGCACCGTGAAATCATGTTAGCATTGTAACGCTCAACGACAGAAACCATTAGTCAAAGGGATACATTGTGTTTGTTTTCTAAGTTTGCATTGAGTTTGTTTTCTAAGTTTGAGGCCACATTTGATTTAAAAAAAAATAACGATGGACACATTGGTTTTTTTTTAAATACGATGGTCTCACTTACCCCTTCACCTTTTTTTAAATATTCTGAATTTAAGTAGTTCATTTATTATTAATATATTAAGAAAATATAGAATAAATACTACATTATAATCACCTTATTTTATAAAAAAAATATTTAATTTTTGTTTTTTTTAACAATATAAGTAAGGTAAGCAGTGAAGGAAACAGGGGATTGGTCAAAGTGAGTGATCTGAAGCAGAGAGTGAAAATGAGGATGGTTGGGCTAACCGGAGGGATTGCATCGGGGAAGAGTACAGTCTCTTCCATGTTCAAGCACAACAATATTCCCATTGTCGATGCTGACGTCATTGCTCGTGTAATCTCTCCTCTTTCTTCTATATCATTTTCCTTTATTCGTTTTTGCAAATCACCTATTCGATCAAATTACAATTAGAAAAAAAATGAGAAAGATGGAAAAAAAACCTGGTGCTACTAGTTTCTGTTTTTGTTTGCAGGATGCTTTGAAAAAGGGTTCCGGCGGGTACAAAAAGGTGGTGGGGGCATTTGGGCCGGACATTTTACAAGATGATGGCCATGTTGATCGTTTGAAGTTGGGCCGAATCGTCTTCTCTGATGCCTCCAAACGTCAACTCCTTAATCAGTAGATTCTCTATAGTTTCCTCTTCTATTGTACTTATTCCGGTTGCCTACTAGTCCTAGAGGCCAGAATTTTAGCTTCACAAACGCTGATAAAAAATAGCATTTTTAGTGTTACATTTGTTCTTCTTTAAGTTGGTTTTATAACATGAATTTCTCAAGTATGTCTCTTATGGTGCTGATGTCATAGCAAATTCTATTACTTTGATGATGTTTCATTTCTCTAGGCCAAATGCCAGGAATGTTAGTGTCCTTTATCCCTAGAGGTATTCTGGACGAGGCTTATTATGTATCATCGTCGTTTACCTTGTCTTGGAATTGTTGATTGTATTGATTCTGAATTTGGTTTATTTCTTCTCGTAAGTTATTTGCTCCTTATATATCTTCTGGCATCATTTTAGAAATTTTGAAGCTTTGGATAAAAGGTCATAAGGTGATCGTTCTTGACATACCATTGTTGTTTGAAGCCAAGTTGGATAAGTGGACAAAACCCATTGTTGTTGTATGGGTTGATCCTGAAACACAGCTTCGACGACTTATGGAAAGAGATAATTTGACAGAGGAGGATGCCAGAAATAGGAAAAGTGCTCAGATGTCTCTAGATTTGAAGAAGAGCCGAGCAGATATAGTGATAGATAACACTGCATCACTTGCAGGAAAAGTTCGGCGAGGTTCTGTCTCAGGTCAAAAGGCCCTTGACATGGACTGAATTCTGGCTTTCCAGGGATGGAGCTTTGTCAGCTCTTCTTGGTGTGATTATAGGTGTTCTCGTGATCAAGAAACTCTTTTAGTATTTATAGGTAACTCAAATACAATCACCATCTTCTTGTGGTTTAAAAAAACTGGTTATAATTCTTCTTTTCTTGACAAGGAAGTGATGTTGTTGTAGTTTTAAATGACAGCAAATAGCTGAATTACTCTTATTGTTGCTAGTTTTATATATAAGATTTCTCTACTGCATCTTTTACTTACAGGTTATGCCAAACTATTTTAGAACTGAATTAATTGAGCCTGATTCATCTGTTATTACTCGAATAACATACTCGAGTTTAACTACGTTTTTTATTGCCTTGTTTTATGATTTGATTGATCTCACTTAGAATTATCATCCGGTGTAGTCCTTCTTGAGTTATTCTTCCCAGATTTTACATGCTTCACAATAACTTTTAAAAGTTTAGTGATAAAAAAATCATTTTAACGTTATATAGTGAACATTTTTTAATTTATCCTATTTCATATTAATAGTGCATATCGATGTGTAATATTAATAGTGTATTTCGGTGTGAAACATTCACTGTAGCATCATCCTTATTCACATATATCTATAAATGGACCAAGGGGATGATGGGGACTGTCTTCCCTTGAAATTATTTTATATTATTAATTAAAAGTAATAAAAATATTTTAAGACCCCAGCGGTAGCGGTGGGATCAATGGTAGTATATGTAAATAGTTGAATTTCCCTCCTATAAATCGACTTTATAACTCGTAATCTTGCTCATTTTTCATCTATAAAGACTTTCGACCCCTCTCCCCCATTCTCTCTCAGAGATGGCTGCTGATCAAGATGCCGCCGGAGGAGCACTGAAATATAAGGTCAGATATTGGTATTTCATCATTTGCTCATTTCTAGTGCACTTAATGGTAGTTTTCTAACTGAGCTGACTCATCCTTTACTGTTTTATACATGGGTTTTGAAAGTCCTCATTCATTGTGAAGGCTGCAAGAAGAAAGTCAAGAAAGTTCTTCAAGCCATCGATGGTACATGTGCATGTTACTGATTCATTACAAGTGGTGATTCTGTTTCAGTCTTCTTCTTTCTCACGTTTTTAATCTTGTTTTATTTACGTTGTCTGTGATATCTTTTCTGTAATATCTTTTCTTTTGGGGTTTCGTTATTAAGGTCTATAAGCCCTCTTTAAGGGGTATTGTAGGGTCTACCCTCCCCTCTTTTTCTTATTTATAAATGAAGAATTTTTTTTAATATTGGCCCTCCCTCTCTCTCTATCTCATTTTCCCAGATGTATGAAAGAAATAGTATTTTCTGTGTGTTCTTTTGGCTAAAACATTTTGGTATTGTACGAATGTCTTTTGCTTTCAACATTAAGGGTGGTTTAATTCACGGAATGTAAGATTATTAGTGGGAATAAAAGATTATCAGAGAATAGGATTACTGAGAATGTTGTATTTTGTATTTAGTTGGTTTGCAGGAAATAAGATTACCGTGTTTGGTTAAAAGGTTAAAAGAATAAAGATTATTGAAATGTATATTTGACCAAATTATCTTATTATATTTTGTAAATATTCAAGTTGAAAAATATTTATATATTTTCTTTAAAAATTTAAATTCATAAAATTTATAATTTTTTACAAAATTAAAATATACAAAAATTTAATAAAATGGTAAAATTTTATTTTAACTCTTGAACTTCATATAAAATTTTAATTATATATTTTCTGTAAATCTAAAATAGTTTAAGGATAAATTTGTAATTTAACATTTATAGAATTTTTATTATTCAATGAAGAAGAAATATATTTAAAAAAAAAATAAATTTAAAGGCATTTTAGTCCAAAACGTCGGTAATGTTACAATACCTAAGGGAATGAAGAGAATGACATTTCCGGTAATATACCTAAAAATCTACTGTTGGTAATAAAACATTACCGGGAATGACATTCCCGACCAAACCAAACGGAGAATGTGAGTTTCATTCTCGAAAAATCCCACGTTCCTCCATCCAATCAGCTTCTAAGAGATATTAGTGGGTTCCCGCATCCCCCAAAATAAATAATGTTTATTTTCAAATTCATCTATACGTTTTCCTTCATATCCATTGCAATACACAATTCTATCTCATTTGTTGACGACCATTTTAAAATAAAATTTATTAGAGGTAACATAATCATGTAATCTTTTATTTTGAAGAGACAAAATTAATTTTGTTATTGTCTCAGCTTAATTTTTTTTTTAGAATTTTTAGTATTTTTAAGGATTATCACCTCATATATCTCTTTATAGTTTTACCCTTGTCTAATGTAAAACAAACATCCATTGAATCGAATTCAGATCATAGTAACTATCACCTCCCCGTTATACGTCAACAATCCCTATGATTCTCAAGCTTCAAACTCCCTAATTATCTCATTTGTTTATGAATTTTGGCTTCCCTCGATCAATTTAAACAATTACTACATGAATTAATTACAAGACGATAACTTGTTTCCATTGCTTTTTCAAAATAAAGAAAGGAATAGTAACTAATCTACTATTCAAATATTGGGGCATATCGTGAAAGATGAATGATAACATGATGCTGATATTTTGGGACCCTCTTGCTAGACAATGATTTATAAAATCTATTTGTCTCTTCTCCGATTCATCATTTGAAGAAACACTTTGTTTGATTCTCTGTATTGACTGATCTAAAATATTCTCAAGAGTGAACACATGTATATATTAAGTATAGATAAGTCGTAGACATAAATAAAATTTTAAGCTAAACATAATCAATAAAATGAATAATTATCAAAAGAGAATTTAAATTTCAAAATGAACACTTATCTACTCTCACATCTTAATGAATCCTTGGTTGCCTATGCACCTAAGGTTCTAAAAATCGAAGTTCCTATCACGAGATAACCCCTAAAAAAGTTTGGAATTTTAATACCAGTAATTTAACAATTCATGAAGTTTGTTAATTAAACTGAGATTTAAGACATAGCAGATTGCATGTCAAGTTGAGACGAAACGGAAAGGTAGATGTCGTAAAATTTGGAGGATTAAGGGACATGTTGATTTGAAAGCCTTGAGTAGAAACCGAGCTGGGAAAATGCAGAACAGTTCATAATAACAACGAGGGAGCAAAGTGTATCTTAGTGAGAAATACACGCGCATCGTCTCCTTTGCTTTGTTTTTATTACCAAATTTCACCCTTTCATTTTAATTGAATTTGGCGTCCAAATAATAAATTTAATTTAATTAATTATAACTTCCCTTAGTATTATTTTTAAATATTTTTATATAAAATTTTTCTTTACTAATACTTATCTAAAAGAAAAATAATTATAAAGATTCTATAAAAAAAAATAACGAAATAAATTAACCGAAATTTAGTAAATCATTAAGAACACAGAAAAGCAGCTTCAACAACACCCAAATGCGGGATAAAAATTGAAGGACAATCACACGTCGTAAAAGAAAGAAAATGACAACCTGGCAAATATTACTCATTTCCTCTATGTTGCAATAGAAGTCTTTCACGTATAATTTAATAACAATCCCAGTTATAATTAGGGCAAAGCACACAAATAGTACCCGCCTATACGATACTACTTTGTCAAGTTCCTCGACTATGAAAGTCACAAAATCTACCCCCAATTATAGGGAGTTACTTCATTGGGTCTTTTGACTGTTAAATGTTACAAAATGGTATCCCGACTATTCATTATGTTCCAAACTCGTCATTTTTCGTTAAAATTTGACAACAATCTGCTGGACGTTAACTTGCTAACTGAGATATGATAAATTTGATCTCATAATCTCAAACGACTATCATATCTCAGTTAGTATGTTAATGTCCAGCTCAGACCACTCCTATTTTTTAACGAATATTGAATAGTTTGGAACTTTTAACAGTTAAGGAACTCGGCATAGCAACTCCATATAATTGGGGGGAGTATTTTGTGACTTTTAGTGAGAGACCAACAGATAATATTCTATAATTAAGGGGCTATGTACTTTACCCTTATACTTAATACAATTTATAATTAGATCAATCATTATATATAAATATATCGATAACTAAAAATATAAATTCGGACAAAGTTTACGCATAATAATTAGACTTGAATCGATCTAAATTAAAACGAATAACTCATATCAGACTTAATCGTAAGAATTTTTATATCACGTTTAAGACTCTAAATTGCTTAAACTTTCTTCCAAAACTCTTCAATCGAAAGATAATATATTTTTAAAAATTTAAATTTACATTTTCTAAATATTAAAAAAACTTATAATAATCTATACTTAAATTTATAATATTAAACGTTAACCTGAAATCTCAAACACTTGGGTTGTTTGTTTGCCTCTTAATGGAAGCATTCAGCGCTTTTGTTTCGCACCTCTAAATGATTCAGTGTTGACTGATTCAGCAAAACAGTGTTGAATGATTCAGCACAGAAGTACATTCTGGATGATTCAGAGCCAGTAAACAAACATGTCACATTCAGAGCTAATTCATACAGCCTCTGAAGTAAACAAACAGCTCCTTAGTAAATATAAAATTAAATGTTCATTCTTCTCAGTGCATCATAAAAAAATTTAAAAAAAGTTATATTACGTATAATTTTATGTTGAGAATATTCTTAAAATTTTTGTAGGGACGAATTTTAAAGATATGAAAATAGATTATTAATAAAAAAATATATAAAAAAATCTATAAAGTATGATAATTAATTTGAATTCGTCAGAGGGACACTTCCTCTACCCATCCCCTAAATCTTTTTTTATATAAATTTTAAATTTAATCATAATTATATCTAGAAAGGAGGGAAATTAAAGACTCTAGAGAAAGAAAAAAAGAAAAGTGTTCATCACACACATTTAACTTAAGGTTTGGTTACATTAATTTCGTGGACCTAATTCTCTTCAAGTAGTATGGAGCAATATGCTTTTAGTAACGTTGGGCATTTGAGGTTCTCCTTTTATATTTTGCATAATTAGGGAGACGACTTCCGTCGTTTCTTAAAAATTTTAAATTATCATATATTTTAGATATTTTTTTATCTACTTTTATCTTCTAAAATTTTATAAATGTGTCACTCCTTAAACTTTAAAAATTCATCACATTTAGGATGTGTTCGACCTTATTCATAACACTATCCATTTTAGTTGATAGAACCAAAGATAGAGTTAAGATAATATTTAGCAAGGATAATGATTAATTAATATTTAAATCTAAATTTTAAAAAATTATTTAACTTTTTAACTTAACAAAATCTAAATTTAAATATTATTAACTAATATTTAACTTAACAAAAATCTAAATACTATCTATCAAATGAAAAAAAAATAAGGGTTATAACCCCTCCCACCCTCTGTCTTGGATACGACTTTCAGAAACGCATGCAAATGATCTACTATAAAACTACAATTCATGTCGGTTAATTATGTGTTTAAAAATAAATGAGTTATTATTTTTAGGGTATTGGTGTGGTTTAGTAACATTTATAGTTTCTCAAAATGTATACATTTTATTAAATTGATATTAATTTAAAATAATTTAATAAATCTAATTATTTATTTTTAAATATTTTATCAATTAATCTTTGATTTGATAAATTTATTTGATCCGAGAAAATCGAAAAAAAAAATTATTGGTTGAAACTTAGTTTATTTTATTTTTTTGCAGGGCTATAGTAAACAGGACACTTCCAAATGCTCCACTAGAAAGGCCACAGATTAATCTGAGCGCAGCAGCTTTTGCCATGGCTTTGAATGTCTCTAACTTGACTCCTCCATTAAATATCTACTCTAACAGGCTCGGATTTATGCTCGCATCTCGCTGTCTCTTATTACTCAATATGAGGGTGCAAATGCAATTACCCCTCTGATTATCGGCACCAACGAGCGACAGGTAATTTCTCTGTCCGATCCCATCCTTTCCAACCCGATTCTCGAATAACCGCCTTCTTCTTCTTCGTTTAGCTGCTGGATGGAATAGCACGCTACAACGCCGCGGAATACGAAGCCATCAACGCCCTACTCTTCCAAAACGCCAGTAGAAGGGTACCACCTACTACATTAACAGTGGGGAATCTCACCAACATTACCGCCGAAGGGGTTAACCTACGTGGGAGGTGCGGTGCGAAAGATGAAGGTTTAATCGTCCCACTGCAACAAGGAGCCGAGAATCGAACTATCACTAACGTCGTGCAGGGGGATGTCAATTCCCTTTCATTTACTCGCACCGAAAGGGAGGTCCTAAGGATCTCTTTTGCAACTGGCAACGCCACCAGACCCGGTGCACTTTTACCGAATGGCGTCAATGGGACAGTTTTTCGGTTGATTCAAACACTGTTCCGAAGCGTTGTCCCATGAAAGCTAGCCTTCATCATATATAATCGTCTTAGTATACTAAAAGTAATCAAATGAATAAAGAATTATAGGGAAGTCGCTTTCTAGTTTGGAAATGAAGACTATACATGTTAGAACGAAACATATATATACATAGTTATATGTAAATGTTCGAACTTCGAACCATCATAATAGAGATTTGGAATTATGTGATTCGGCAATATTACATGTCAGTTTTAATCATTTTTTTAACTCTCCCACTTTCCAAGTTAATAATACATAAAAAAATAATTTGAAAACCTTTGCATACAATTTTACATCAAAAAGTTTTTTAAAATATAATTAAATTATTATTTTATTAAAGGAAATAAATAAGAGTGGTTTAGATCAGAATTAAATAGTAAAGATAGTCTATTCCGACTTATGTCCATTATAATATTATGCTACCTGGAGTAACAGATTTGGTGTGATAGTTTGGAGAGTCACCGAATTTTATTTTATTTTTTGGAGATTTAATCAAAATTTTGAGGGGTTAATGAGAATTTTTAAAAAAAAAAAAATTGAGTGCCTAGTTAAAATTCAAAAGTTTTGAGAAACTTAATAAATTTCTTTTAACAATTTTAAGGGGAATTGATTAAGAAAATTCCAAAGTTCTAAGATTTCGTTAATTTTATAATAAATTTGAAGAGGCCTAATTAAAATATTTTTGAAGGGTGTAATTCAAATGCCCCCATATATTTAGAATAACGCTCTCTGGCTCAATGGCTCCTTTAAAATTGTTCCAACCTTCAAGCTTTACATTTTAAGATTTTAACTCATTATTATTCTATTCTAATTTTGATCGAAAGATTGGATCCGATTTAGAATAAGGGTCATAATTTAAGGATAAAATTAAATTTTCAAAAGTTTGAAGATCAATTTAAAATGAGGATAAGGCAAGATAATTTGTGCTCAAAGTTCATAGAATAAAATACTTAATACAAGGGAAAAAGAAAAGGGAGATGGGAACTCCTAGTATTGTCCCTCTCTTGACAAAAGTAGTCTCAAACAAAACCATTACAATCACAATCAACTGCGAGTTATAGTCTTTGGCCAAGTTTTATGCTGAGCCTTCATCTTGTTTCGCTTCATCCGACTTTTGCTTTGATGGGTCTAACGGGGATAAGGAGCCCTCCACTCCCATCTCTGCTTTTAGGTCATTGATGCTTTGCTCCAACTCATTTATACGGTTTCCCATGTCATCGAGTGCTTAGAAGTTAAGTCAACAATAGTTGTCCCACACTCAACAGTAATAAATAGCAACTCTTTTCATTTAAAGTAATGCTAAACAATGGAAACATAACAAAGTTTCAAACTTGTTCAGATCTGGCCAACATAACAATAATGAGACACAGGTTCACATCACTATCTAAGAAAGAATCTTTAGTCTAGGATTTCCACATAAGTTGGTGAATGTATAACTAAACTTAAGACTACTTTACACAATTCAACCTAGTTATGTAACAATCAAGTTAAAAGCTCAACAAGAAAAAAATAACTTTTTTATGTAAGAAACAACATTTTCAAAAAAGGTTGGTCTTATGGAAGAACATTTGAAAGGATATTCTTGGTGATAATGGAATCAGACATCGTTTGAAACCTTGATTGCTGCAAACAAAATCTTTGTCAATACAAAAATAAAATCCAATAAAAGAGGGTCCAATTATAACTCACCATTTGTTGAAGAAGATTTTGCACCTAAAGAAACCAAAGAAGTTGTTACCAAAGACGTACGAGAATGGCAATAAAAAAACCAAAGGAAAAGATTGATGATTACACCCATTAGATAGCATTATCTGACTAGGCAACAGTTCAACATTAATCAAATTAAGCAGTGGTTATGCTGTGCCAGCTACATTTCAAGCAGTTCTTTCATGTTATAAAGAAAGGTTAGGAACTCACAAAAACTGTCATATCAGCAGTGTTTTGCTTTGACTCGTCCGAATTATGTCCATCCTGCAAAAAGCATAACAGTCAGCTTGCATACCGCACATTATCAGGCACATGACTTGATAACAAAATTAATCCCTACTTCAGATTGCTTTAACGTCAAGACTATAGTTGATCAGATCCTCAACTTACTACTCTGAAACTGTACTCCTCTAAAGAACTTCACACAAATCTAATTTTCTTTAGGAACTTCTGCGGAAACTGCATAGGAATTATGAAAAATCTCAAGGAGAACAAGGAATCGTATGCCACTAATTAAGGTTTCGTCACAGAATACACTAAGAGTGATAATAGAGCCCATAAATCAAACCCGAATGCCAGCATTTAAAGCACAAACAATTTTAATCCAAAAAAATTACAAAATCAATAATGAAATGATAAAATCCCTAACTGTCAAAACACATACAGATAAACGACTTCAAGATAACGGATCTAAAACAAGTAGCTATTATTTCAATTTTTTTTATGAAAAAACGATATGATTTTAGATCATAGCATTCTGAGCAATTAAAAAGGATCCGAGAAAAGTGATATTGAGGAAGACTATCAGTTCGAACGATTATAAAATGGAGAAAGAGAAAGGAAATGAAATAACGTTAACCATTGTTTCGCAGTGGATCTTGGATGTGCTCCTCAGTTGCAAACCTGACCCGCAGCTTCAATTCAAAAATCTTGGGAGCGTTGAGCGAAATTAAAATCGATTGCTTCGCTGCTTAATTTATACGCGGATGGTTCGGTTCCTTTTTCATCCCGTCTATCACCTTTTATTTACCAATATGCCACTCCCTCTTTAAACTTTTTTAAATCATTATTTTTAGGGTAAATTACCTAACTGTCACTTGCCTTTCATATTCATACTTTTATCCTTACTAAATTCAAAAAGTTACATTTTGACTCATATTATCATTTTATTAAGATTTTTTGTTAAGTTATAACTTTCATATTAGTAAAAAGGATTAATTTTTAATGTAATCCTTAAATTTTAATAAATTACTAATTTGACATTTAAATTTTAGATAAATGTCAATTTAAAATAAACGACACGTCGGTGCTCAAAATTTTTAGTTAAATTTTTCATATTAAATAATATTTTGATGAAGAAAGTTCATACAAGCATTGCACTGCACACAAGTGAAAGTACACCATGATATTGACGAGCAAATGTCTGATTGGATAACACTTGGAAGATGAGAGTTCAAAATTTTCGCCGGATCCGCCAGACACTTCATTTTTCCTTTCGACTAACCGATTTCTGGCTTGCATAAGGATTTTCCGGCGTATAGTACCACAAACCCAACAGTATAAGTAAGTGAAGGCAAAGGAGTAGAAGAGATGAATATAAGTTTGATGGAAACACATTCCAGCACAGCTCCACTCCTAAGAAAATAAGCAGGCTGAACAAACAAAAGATTAACAAATTATTATACAGAACTAACAGCACCAAGTGTATTCGAAACCGTGTTGGGCTAAAGAAGTTACCGAAGCAACGTAGGGAAAGGTGTTGTCCACAATAGGTAAGGCAAACTATATAAATACCTGCACCTAGAGACCATAGTTAAGAACCGATGAGGGGGATCGGAAATGGTCTGATTCCGTCTCAGAGATTATATAGAGAAGGAATCAAATAGACACAAACTAGAAAAGTACTTATCGAGATAGTCCGTAATAATATGTATCATCGGAGGCGTAAGAGATATGAATATCAAAGGTAATTGTTCTAGCTGGACACTCACCACGAGTAGAACTGATAATGCAATGAACGGGCACATAAAATGCCAGTGAAGTTTCAAGCAAACATGGTTGTCAAGATATCTGGATTTGTCTTCACCAAATTTAGCATTCCGAAGAATAGGATCGACGGAATGACGGGATTCTCTAATAAAATTCATGTCTATTGAGGGTTGTTGGCCATGGAGAGCCGGATGTTGACAAACAACACCTAACCCTTGAATACAAAAAATTAAAAAGCCCTCCTTCATGCCTGCAAGTCATATGTACAAGAGCAATCAAAATTATTTATATAACTTACATGGATACAAATATTGCCTAAAAGGTTCAAATTAGAAATTTTATGATAAATAAAACCCGGCGACCACACATTCATCATTTACTACCAAGTGAATATGAACCATTTCACTTACTTGCACCATTTATAATGAGCAAATACTATAAGCAAAACGAGGTGTGCAATCAGTAAATAGACGACAAATTCCCTCGACACAAAAATGGGTTGAGGAATGAACTTGAAGTTGACAGACCTAACAAAAGAACAGAAGTCAGAGTTAGACCTCAACGACACCCATTGTTGTTGTGCAAGTCACAAAAAGCATTGTCCGGAGAACAATGAAGTATAGCGCTATTCACAAAAAATGGAACTAAACATGTTTAATAACTGGCAACTAATCGGAACAGTGAACATTTTTAATACTATAAAATTACCAGAAGTGGATGAAGACGTATCAAAGATTAAAGGCTCGTGATATATATTCAATTGGATATGAAACTAAAAATGGAAGCCCCAGCACAATCTGCAGAACCTTTTACTGAGTATGTAGAAAAGAATAAATATATTGGCAGGCAATGCCACCTGCAACAACATTACTTGCAGTAGTCCAGCTCACCTAACCACATTGAATATAAGTTACGATGCAAGGAGATTTATATTTATTCCCGTGTTGTCGTTAAAGAAAGGAAATTAGAAGTAGAAATCCCAAGTATCAGGAAATTTTTAATGCTAATAAAGAGTCGTCAAGGGCCTTTAGCATGAGTGTAAAAAGAGATGGAGCAAAGAGGAGAACATTCATCTTTATTGAAACCGCAGCAGTCAGCACTACAAATAAAAAAAGAGGGAAAGCAGGATCAACTTTTCTTTTCCCTTTTAAAAGGGAATTAAAAACTGTTTTGATAAAGTAAGCATACTACCTAAAAATAATCAACCCGAAATGCCACCATCCAAAAAGAATGGATTCAATGGCGGCATGGAGGAATGTCATTGCAAAACAGTCATTAAACAGACGAAGCACGAATATTGAGTGAACTCGCTTTAAAAGACAAAGCAAACTAAGAGCCCACCATGGAAGCTGAAAGAAGTTTTAAGAACAGTAAATGTCAATTAAAAAAAGCACTGATGCAAAATAGAGTAAGAAATGTTAACAATAAAGAAAGTTTTCCTTTTCCAGAGATTTGATAGTTTCGGAGTGAAGATACAAACGTTAGTTATGCTTAAATGTGAAAATGGAAACAAAAAATCATAATTGAAATCAAGTGATCTCAATTTTACAAGTTTCCAACATTGAGAACACTCAGTTAAAGATATATATTTCTCAGCTTTATGAATTTTACATAATAATAGTACCTGAACAGTAAGCAAAAGCAAATTTCATACCACATCAGTCTTAACATAGATTAATAAGACAATCCCCAGGTTTATGATGTATAAAATCCCAAACAAAATCTGCAATCAAAACCAAAACAAGAAGTAAGCATAACTGGTTTACATAAGCACAAATCATAGACAAGAAAATTCAATTTGCCTAACTAAAATGATCACCTGAGCTGGAAAAACCTGTCCTCCAGTAACATGCTGAATAGCAGAATAAACATAAAGGAAATCAGCAGGGTAGACGAGCGGCCCAGCGTCTGGCTGAGAGCTTCGTGATAGGTCTCTCAGCTTGGTTTGTTTGGGCCGACGGCAGAAACCGACTGTTTTTCTCTTTCTTAGGCTTACTTAGGATTGAGCTTGGCTTGGCTACAGCATCAAATTTTTTTTTGGTTAAGTTAAAATTGATTACATAGTAGTATTGTTCTAAGTACTCTCAACTATTTGATAATAAACGCTTAATCACCTTTACAGTTGCTAGTGCTCGAACTCGTGACAATAATTCCTTTAAACACTGAGATAAATTAGCTCATGCTTAAACTGACATCAGAACCCAAAAAACAGGAATCTTACTCATAAGTTGATGCTTTTCGTCTTCCTCCATGACCAAACCCCCTTCTTCAATTCGGGTGAAATGCATCACATATTATGACTCTAATGAGACAATAATAATTCTCTCGAATCGCATGACATCAATATAACCACATATTCCCTTCACACGTAACAATTAAAGACTTTACATGATGATCATCTTCATTTATACTTCACCAACATCATAATGTTATGTCGCACCTCACCTGGATAGTGTAAAATCCACAATAAGTTGATTGAACAAATGTTCTCTCCACGATAAATTTGATAGTATCGAACAGGATTTGATGCCCCCATTAGAGTAATCAAGTCTATTAGATTCATTGATCTATTAAATAGTTTCAATGATAATTTCTTTAATCTTATATGATCTTTAAGTTATGTGCTTATTTTGAAATATAAATTTTTTTTATGTTAATTATTTATTTTATTAATGGTATTCATCTCAAAATTTTATTTATATTCACTCATATAAAAATTTTATATTCTTAATATATAATAATCACCCTAAAATTTATTTTTAAATTCGTCGTGATCAGTAATTATTGTATGGATCTCACTTTCTTCATGGTTAGTCTAGCGGGGTGACTCAAATTTACAACCTCTATGCTCAAAATATTAGAATAACTAATTATATTGGACAAACCAATGTTCTCAATAATTAAGGCATTGTTGTTTTTTTAAAGTATTAATTCCGAGTACACTTGTTGTTATGTGAGCTATATAAGAATGTATGTGTTGTACTCAGTTTACATATCAATAATATACTTCTCTCCATTCGTTGTGAAGTTTCCTTATGAATTCTAATTAATTAATATGGTATCAATCACTAAAGATCTTGATGGCTTTTCTTTCACATGTGTATTTTTTGGGCTGCTGGTGATTTCGCCCACTACATCTATTAAAGGAGAGGTTGAGTTTTGATCAAAGAACGTCAAGATGTTTTTCTTTCACATGTGTATATTTGGGCTGCTGGCGATTTCGCCCACTGCATCCACTGAAGGAGAGGTTAAGTTTTGATGAGATGAACTTCTTGTTGTGGAAACAACAAGTGTTGCTCAATGTACGTAGTTATCGTCTTGAACGATTGCTTATTGGTGCGATGAAGCCTCCACCTAAACTAGTTGCTGATGAAGATGGTTCGAATAAGGCGTATGAGTACTTTGTTGCTCAAGATAGTGCATTGGCGCCCTGGTTGTTGTCTACGATAAGCACACATCTTCTTTCCCAATTTGTTGGAGCGGAAATTGTATCTGCAGTTTGGAGCACAGTTTTTCCAACCAGGTCGTCGACAACTGTTATGAATTTGCATTGTAAGCTACAATCTCTCAAGAAAAGAGAATATATAGTATAAGGACCTATCTTGCTCGAGTTAAAGAAATATGTGATGCTTTGACATCTTGTGAAAGTGCAGTTTCCCTGGTTAGTCGTGTTGCAAGTATGTTGAAAGGGATGCTAAGGAAATATCAACCTTTCATGGCAGTTATAACCACCGGTAGAGATTCCCTTTCTTTAAATAGAGTGTGTACAATACTCATTGATTGGAAACCAGTTGGTTGGAATTGATGCCCAAGAAGAAACATTGTTGGCGAATGCTCATGTTGCTCGTGTAACGGTGTCAATTAATTTTGGATCTAATTCATATTTCCATAATTATAAGTCTCATCATTTGCCATCTTATAATGGAAGCAGATCTGGTGAAAGAGGTGATCGCGGACGTGATCAACTGCGTATTCAGTGTCGACTATATTACTCAACCCCGCATATATAGGAGTATAAATTGTCATTGTCAAATAGTTAAAAATACTCGAATAAATATTATATTATATTTATCTCAAATTTATGTAAAAAAATTACTAACTATATCCTAGCTTTGTTATTTTCTCAGTGGTCTAAAATAATAATAAATTTTAATTAAATAAAAGTGATAGTAAAAATAATAATATATAAATTTTTATAAAAAAATATGAATGAAAAAAAATCACTAAAAGCGAAGATATTAATAAAAATATATATTATAATACAATAAATAATATAATTTTAATTTTATGAATAATTATACAGATACATAAATATTAATAAAATCCTATTTTTTATTATAAAATAATTTTAGGGGAGTGCTATATTTAATAAAAAAAACATAATGTATTTATTTAAAAACAAAATTCAGTTATTGGTCCAGAAGGCCATAACTTCCACCGTGAAAAGAAGTGAAGGAACCATGGGAATGAGTAAAAAGTGACACATGCATCTCCTTAACGTGTGTGCCAACAGCCGTTCCAATGATGTCTCGGCACGTAGAGGCACCAAACCCCTATCTCCTTTTGCCACTTGTCAATCATTCACGACATGAAAACGACACCTACTCGTCCACCCTTCAAAAATGTTTAAACCCTCATATCAATGGGCTCGCCACATTTTCCCTCGGGCCCAATTTACACAGCCTCCAAACTGATCATGGTGACCCTTTTAATCTCGCACCACGTGGCATAAAAATGTATCATAACCGTAGGAATTGCTATAAGAAGAGCTGTTGTTACAACGCTCTGGTTCGTCTCTCTCGTTATATTCGAAGAAAGCTTTCGTTTCAATTTCTGTAGTCTAAAGTCTGTTACTACTTTTCAAAGTATTAGTCTCGATAATGGCGAAAACAAGGGTGGAAACGGATGTCAAACGGCCAAAGGAGGCGGAAACCACAGTTAAATCACCAACAACGGAGTCTGATCCTAAACAAAAAGAGGCGGTAAGCGCAAGAAGCATCTCTTGATAATTGTTTTTTTCCTTTTCTTTTTGATGGATGAGAAGTTGATTTTGTTTTATTTTGAATGTAGATCGAAGATAATGTACAGAAGAAGCTCAAGTATCTAGATTTCGTTCAAGTGGCGTCAGTTTATGCAGTTGTTTGTGTATCATGCGTCTACGAGTACGCCAAACAAAACTCCGGTCGGCTTAAACCGGGCGTACAAACTGTCGAAGAAACCGTCAAGACCGTCGTCGGCCCCGTTTACGATAAATTCCACGATTTACCGTTCAAGCTCCTCGAGTTCGTCGATCGCAAGGTAAGCATTCAACGCCTCAGCCCCCCGAAACGCCATTTTTGTTAATGAACCGTTATTTTTTACACACGTGGTCTGCAGGTTGACCAGTCCTTGAACGAGTTGGAACGTCACGTGCCGTCTCTGGTAAAGCAGGCTTCATGCCAAGCTCGAACCATGGCTTCGGAGGTCCAACGAGTCGGCGTTCTAGACGCGGCTAAGATGATCACGAGGAACGTTTACAGCAAGTGTGAACCGACGGCTAAGGAGATGTACGACAAATACGAGCCGGTAGCGGAAGGGTACGCAGTTTCTGCTTGGCGGTCGCTTAACCGTCTCCCGTTTTTCCCTCAAGTGTCTCATGTAGTAGTCCCCACGGCCGCTTACTGGTTGGAGAAGTACAATCAGGTGGTACGTTACTCCGGTGAGAGAGGGTACGCTGTAGCGTCGTATCTACCTTTGATCTCGACTGAAAGAATCGCAAAGGCTTTCGGAGAGGGTCACGGGGAAACAGTTCGCCGGCAATGAAATCGGTAGGGGGTAATAGTAGGGTTTTGGGGATTAGGTGGTTAGCTTCCTCAACTGAAAAATGTCGTCGATGGAATGGAGTCAATGACTCCATTGTTGGCCTTCTTTGTTTTTAGCTTAATATTTTGGGTGCTCAAGATCAATGCTGAATGGTTTTTCTTTTTCTTTTTAATATAATAAATATTTTTTATAAGTCGTTTTTTAATTAAAAATATATAAATATAAATAATATAGCGTTAAGAGTGCAATAAAAGATAATCTAATGACTTAAATTGAATTGTCTAAAGCAAAATGTAGAGGTATTATGAACTAATAAGACTTTAATTGAATTGTAAAGCTAGTTCATGTAGAGGTTATCTATGAGTGAGATTTTTTCATTTCTATGGTAAGTATCAATCTCAATAATTCTAATTTAAAAAATTTATTTTATTCATATGATATAATTAATTTAAATATTTATCAAATCACAAAATTTAATAATTATTAATATTAATTATTTTATAATTAATTAATTTTACAATAAAAGAACTGTTAATTTAATTAAAAAAAATCAAATCAAATTACAATAAAAATTTACGGTTGTAATTGTAAACTAAATATATCATAAGATATTTTTTTTATTGTTACACAAAGATCATATAATAAAAAAAGTTAAAAATCATAACCAAATAAATTTAAATAAAAATAGATGCAAACATATCTAAAAATATTAACAAAATGATTAAGAAACATATCAAGCTATTAAAAAACTAATGATAAACCATAAATCATAATTGACGATAAGAGAAAATTATTCACGAACACAAATTATTCTCTAATTTCAATCTGAGAATTCAAAGCATGATAACAAATACATCATCTTAATCAATTATTACGATGTCAAATTTAATTTCTTAAAAAAACAAATGAAAATAAGGTAAAACGACTAAAAACATATACTAAAATATAAAATGAGACATTTCATACAGATAGAGTTGTTAAGAATAAGAAATAAAAATAAAATAATAAAATATAGGAAAAACAATAAATACTAACGATTCGATTGATGGTCAACGTTGGTGTTAACCACTGTCGATCACAAAAATAAAGAGAAAAATGTTATTAGTTATTTAAACATTAATTATTCAAATATGAATGACATAAAAATAATGTTTAAATAAATAAAGATTACGAAATAAAATATTGTATTAAGTTCGAGAAAATTTTAATTTTAATTTGTTTAAAAATATTTTATTTTAAATAATAAAATAAAATAATTAATTTAATATCTCTAAACAAAATTTAGTATTTCATAATTTGTGTCTTTTATTTTAATCTAACTAAAAAATATTTTTTCTTGAAACATACGGTGTCATATAAGATATGTATATCTTATCAAACACATATTTTAAAATATGATCGACAAAATACATATTTATTTAAATATTGTATGTTAAAAATATATTATTTCTTTAAATGGAATAGATACATACCCTCAAATAATTAAAAAAATGATATCATTTAGGTAATTTTACATAAGACAAAATCCACAAGTATGACAAAAAGTACAGCTTTAATTCCAAGCAGTTCGCCTTTTACTTGATGTCTCAAATTTGAACTTGATAAATATGAATGAAATCATGGTTGCATACATTGACCGTGTAATAATTGATGTGCATCGTATCGACTCAAAAACAATAGATATATTTATCAGATCATATCATATCATGTGCATTTGTTCCCCTTAAGAACCAAAATAAAATTTAAATCATATGATAGATAAAAAAATATATATTATACTCGATTCAAATTCAAATGAACTAAAACACATAATCATTCCTAATTACATCTGTAATCTTAGCCAAAAACCCTATGCACATTGAACACAGGAAATCTTAGACGACAAAATGGTTTTTTCAAAGCAATAATAATTTTATCATTTAATAATATTATGAGCTAAAGAAATGTTTCAGCGACACCATCATTGAAAATAATAGAATCAACAATCAAATTCCTCCCTAATTTCTCTATATCATGATTTTCACTTTATGACAATTCAAGACAATGATTATGCCTATTTGAGTCTTAAGAATTATCTCATCACTCAGTTGTGTCCGCAACACACTTTATACGCTCAACTCACTTGTTTTGATCAAAACAATGAGGTCCATTAACTCTCGAGTCACCAGCGACACCATGCATGTGGCTTGCTGAACTATTTCCTAAAATCGTTAACATGTGTAGAAATTTTATTTCGGTCACAAAATAAACTACCAAGCATTCTCATACGATCGATGAAACCAAAGTTTAATTTCGTCGCATCTTTCAATAGCTAACAGTAATATATTGAAAATTTCTATTTTTAGTTTCAATTATGGTTTACCTGGATACGAGGAAATCAAAATGTTTTTTTGATGAATTAAAACCAAATGAAAGAAAGAGAAAAATATATGAGTGGCTTGATGTTTAATTTAACACGGGAACCTTCAAATGACGACAAAAACAACAGTATAATGAGAAAATAATGCTATAGTAAAAACTAAAAGTTAATTTTTTTTATATGCCATTGTTAATCGTTACATAAATTTGAACTCCAATTATGTTAATTTTATAGACAAACAAAGTCTTATCATTATTGAAATTGACCAATGATTACTTCGTTAACCGAAAACTCAAATTTTACCATGATTGCCAATTTTAAAAAATTGGGGATTTGAGAAAGAAGACTTCGCATCAACATTTTCTAACGATAACTAACATAATAATCGTAATCAAAGTGAATTAAAAGGTTAGTGATGAAAAAGGAAATATTATAAAGTTTAGTGACTACCAAATGTAGTTGACCTTTTACTTAATTAGCAAAAACTGCAAACTAAACCACCCATTCCGCCTCTCCCTAATTATCCTAACCTCCGAAAACCAAACCAAAAGAAATAAAAACAAATATTAGCTGCACCTCAACAGAGAAACATTTGATAACTGATCTTCCCGCAATCATTCACTTCTTTTTCTCTTTCCCCGTTCTCTTCCCAAAGACCAAAAGGTTTCCTCTCCTCGAATCAGAGAAAACCCCAAAAGGTAAACCCCCTCTCCGCGAAACCTTTTCCTCTGTTCATCTTCAACAACAAGATGGTCGAAACGCGACGCAGTTCTTCCTCTTCCAAACGTCCTCTTTCATCCTCTCCCGTTACGTCATCCCTTCCCACTTCTAGTAAACGATCCAAGGTATTACGTTTCTTTTTCTTTTGCCTTCTAACAATCTAATATTTCCCTAGGATTCTTAATATGCATGCGCGCCAAAATCATTTCTTCGTATATGTTTTTTTGTTTAGATTTTGAATCTGGGTCTCATTTTTTTCCATTTAGGCATCTGATCCTGCGTCGTCTCCCGCCGACGGAGCATCGGTTCCCGAGACGCTTAAGGAATCTGGGTCGGAATCGCCGGTAACGGAGGTCCAGACCTCTGATCTGCAGGTCTCTGATGTGGCTAAGGCTGATGATGGGTCTGTTCCCGATAAGTCTGCCGATGCTGATGTTGAGAACGGTACTTTAGTGTCTCCGGATTCTTTAGGTGCGATCCTTGGTTGATTTCTTGTTTGGTTATTAGGGGGTTTAATCCTTTTGGAGTTGATTTTGGTTTTTATGGGGTTTTGATGTGGGGGTGTATTTGGTTTAAGCAGAAGAAGCTGCTGTCGATGTGGAGAAAGTTGAGGGGCTTAGTGGTCGGGTTAAGAAGAAGCCAGCTAAATCAGCTTCTAAAGTCCCTTGGGGAAAGCTTCTATCTCAGTACTCCCAGGTATGTTCTATGAAATTTTTATTAGCTTTCCCCGTTATGACCTGTCTTTTGATTCTTGGTCTCTGTTTTTAATCGAGTAGGATTATAAATTAGAGTCAGCATTAAATGAAATGAAAAAGAAGTGCTTTTGGCATGTGGATTTTGGATGTCAATGAATTTTTATTGCATGATTTGGGTGTAGAGCTATAATACTATGTTTGGTTCCAATCATGGAGTGTAATCTTGGAGTTCATAATCATATAGGTCAATTTAAATTCCTAGTTTAGTTAAGAGACTTGAACTCGAAGACACTGGAAGTTTTCCATCAGGGAGAAGTTCTGAATGTCCTTTTTAGATTAATGGTTATCAGTTCTCCCTTGTTGGTCTATTTGAAAAGAGCCAAACTGGACCATATGAATTTCTAAGATGTGTTGACAACTTTGCCTAGCAACATTTTTTTTGGGATTATATCTTTCAAAACGTGTAAGTCTGAAAACTCACAAGTTAACTCTGGATGTGTTGGTCTATTCGTATGCTTTATGGTTGTTTTCATGCTAAGGCACTCTGTTTCATATTCTTATTAATGTTAGATTCACTCTTTCTTTATGTTTTATTTATCCTCAGAATCCTCATTTGGTCATGTCTGGCACACCATTCACTGCCGGCCAAAGCCGTCAATGTAATTTATGTCTTAAAGATTCCAATATCAGCAACATTTTGTGCAAAGTGAAGCACATGGAGGTATGTAGCTTCGCGATACTTATTTGCAAGTTGTCTGTTCATAATTTTTATTGCCTGTTTATGAGAGTGCCGACTTTATTGTTCCAATGTAGAGCAATGGCACTTCTATTGCACTACTAGAAGTCACAGGAGGAAAAAGGTTCTGTCCAGGTTAATGGGAGGGCTTACCGGAAAAATGCTAGTTTAATTTTAAATGCAGGCGATGAATTGATTTTCACTAGCTCGGGAGATCATGCTTATGTATCCTTTTTCTTTAACACAGTCTTAACACATTTTTTTTTGACAACGATTGATATTCCTCTCCCTCTCAAATGAGAATCTATGCGCTGTTGTCTTGCCGCATGTTTCTTTTATTCAACTTTGGTGTTCTTATGATATATTTTTCCATCTGAGAGTTACTTTAATTCCTTAATGGAAACTTAGATATTTCAGCAGCTCACCATTGATAACTTAGATGCACCAGGCATACCTTCTTCAGTGAGCATTTTAGAAGCCCAGACTGCTCCTATGAAAGGGATTA